TCACATCTCATAAACAACAATAATCGTAACTGAATGCAAACAATATACACATTTACCGCATCAATACACAACTTCTTTATGCAATCATATAATGCGACTCAATACTATGAAAATGCATGTGGTACCATTGGAGCAGAACTCCCATCTCAAAATAATTTCCAATAAATAGAGGCATCAACAAGGCATACACCTTCATCTTAATATTCGCCAATACATGTCATCTTAACGAGCATCAGCTCCACCTTGATATGCAATGTATGCGACACAATCATGAATGTAGTAATAACAACCACAATTAACAACATCTCAACACAACATCATCGTTATCCAGAAGCCTACATCTTAATAACTGCCAATTATTAGAGTCATCTCAACATCATTCATCAACATAATTCATCAACATAACTCATCAACATAACTCATCAACATAATTCATCAAAATAATTCATCAACATACTTCATCAACATAACTCATCAACATAATTCATCAACATAATTCATCAACGTAATTCATCAACATAATTCATCAACATAATTCCACAGCAACCCAGTCATAACAACAATACGACGACAAATCGACAATCCCTCAACGTTGGCCATAAGCCTACAACATGATAATTCCTATAATTAATTAATCATCTAAGGCTTATCTCTAATTACCAAATCTCTACATATTATTATTCTATAATACTACATCATTATCATTATAAATCTTACTGTTATGAACAAAGCATAATCTAAGATCGTCTTATCCTCATCATACTTCACAAAAATCATCATAGCGATTAACATGAGAAGCTAAATATATCTTAATTTAGGTACTAGGATTATTCTTCTTATCCATAATTTTAATCCTTATGAATGAAGATAATCGCGTTAGCTATCTAACGCTTTAAACGGCACCTCAAACGGAGTCTGGAAACTCAAGTTACAGCCTTTGGAAGAATCTGTCAAAAATTAGACTGCATGAGTCGACGCATGTCTCTTTGAGTTGACGCGTACTGGGTTTTGAGTCTTGCATGAGTCGACACGTAACCTCTTGTGTCGACTCATACTGAGTCTGAAATACTGCATGTGTCGACGCATGATCCTTATGTATTGACTCATCCTGAGTCTTAACTCCTACATGTGTCGATGCATGGCTTTTGAGGTCGACTCATACTGACCTGTCATGAATATATTCTGCGATTTCACTGCATTTTCACTGCGATTTCCCTGCCTTAGGCCCTAAAAACATCTTCTAATCATAGGTAATCATCAATTATATTAATCCTATGTTTCTACATCAATTATACATCATTAGGACATCATTATTCATCTCTAAATCATTGATCCTCATCAAACAACAATATATATTTCAATCATAAACAAAACAACTTTTCAAATCAAATCCCACATACTACTCATCATAAACCCTATTATAGAGTCAGAACCCCACTCTTACCTTGGATTGGAGATCGCTCTATAATTTTTTGATCGAATTCCGTTTTGCCTCTTTTCCTCCTTTTCTGCAACTTTCACATTCTCTTTCTCTCTTCCAACCCTTATTCTTCTCCCTCTTGACAAAACCTATTCTCCTCACTGTCATATCTAATTTCTATTATTATTATAATCAAACTCAATAATAATAAAATTATTTCTCTTGGGCTTGATTCTCACACCCCCTTAGTACTACATACCACCATATAAAATAGACCCAACAACATAATCTTATATTATTCCATTAATTACAACATTATTATTATTATTATTAATCAACTAATTAATTACTTAATAATAATCTAACAACTTATACCAACAATCCACAATATCTCACAACTTCAACAAATAATCCAAAATAATTTAATTAAATAATTAATTAAATTAACGGGCGTTACACCTCCTCCAAACCACATAAAGGGCACAAAAACATCATTGAGAAAACTTTTCATACCTCGCTTACAAAGAGCCCTACGAGTAGGTAAAGCATTAAACAAATGCCTTCAACCAAACAATTCAACCTTACTAGGCACACAAGCTAACCATAAATTTTTTAACTAAAAATTACTCGCATCTTTCAACACAACATCCCAAAACTTCAAAGAATAAATCCATCTAAAGCTATTTTCACCGAAAAACCATCTACATGCCTCCACCAAACCAATTTATCACTAACCCCATCACTGAATCAACTCCCTTCAAAAGCTCCAACAACTCATTCCTCTCATTAGTCACCTTCTCCTCAAGATCGAAGTTACCAACCTCAAATTTCACCTCCAAGAATTATCCACCCAATCACTCATGTTGACAACACAACACGAAGAAGAAGAAGAAGAAGAAGAAAGAAAAAGAAGAAGAAGAAGGAGGAGTAAGAGAACACAAATCATACAAGTAAGGAAAAATCTCTTTAAAGAGCATAGGTTCCAACCAACAATGATCCCAAAAACGAATAGAATCACATCCGTTAATTTTCAAGAGATGAAATTAAAAAACCAAGGCCGACCATTAATTACAAAATCACTCACATTGCGTACATCCCTCCACCAAAGAGAAACTTTCATCAAAACTCTATTAGAGACAACACCACAAAGCGCCTTCACACCCCCACCATACCTAAACTCCATGAACTTTGACTAAATTGCATCTCGCTCCGTCAAAAATCTCCAACCCTACTTACTCATCAAAGAAAAATTAAAGGTATCAATATTCTTCACCCCTCAGGTCACCCTCCTCACGGGACGACGAATCTTCTCCCAACTAACCCAAAAAAACCTTCTGAACACCATTGTCTTTACCCTACAAAAAGCTCGGTTAAATTTTAATAATACCATTAATAATGCATTTAAGGGCTTTATAGAAGAAAAGTATGAAAATCAAAATACTATTAAGAACCGAATTGAGCAATTCAAAACTCGGAAGAATAGCTTTAATGCGCCATAAATTCTCCTTTGATGCATCACATTATCTTTTTTCTTCTAATTTTGTTATATATCCTATCATATTTTTTATATCAAATTTAAAATCATTTATTTTAATTTTTTTGTTTATGTATTTTATCCAAATTTTAAACCCGTTAATATTTAATAATAAGTTATTTTATGTATTTATTTTGTTAGATGATTCATTACGATTTAAAATTTATTACTAATATATAGTTTGATTTGTGTTTGAGAGTTATAATTGAATTGTACTAAATTTATTAACGCTATGTGATCAATTATATCTTTTTTAGTCATTCAATTTTAAATTATATATATATATATATATATATATATATATATATATATATATATATATATATATATATATATATATATATATATATATATATATATATATATATATATATATATATATATATATATATATATATATATATATATATATATATATATATATATATATATATATATATATATATATATATATATATATGAAATTTTTCAACTTTGAATATCATATAACTTTTATAAGATCATAAAAATAAAATTGTAAATTATTAATAAAATTCCTCTCATTCTCTCCTGAACCAAACATATTTTTAATTAAAATTCCTGTCTCCTCCTCCTGATCTCCTCTCTTTTGTACCAAATATTTATCTAATTAAAAAAAATATCTCACTTCACCTCTGCTTTCCTTTCCTTCTCTCCATTAAAATTCTTCCTCTCTCCTCTCTTTCATTTGAACCAAACAACTCTTAGGAAGAAGACTTTTAAAAATACAAATAAGAAAAATAAAAAACGCCACAACCAATAAAACAACAAACTAAAATAAAAAAGACAAATAAATATGTCTAAAGCGTTAAAGAATTGCCCTTATTATTTTGGTTAGAATCCTTTTTGGAAATTTGAAGAGGGAATGGAGGAGACTACTTTGAAAATATGAAGGATTGAGTAAAAAGAATTAAAAAAAAAATTAGTTGGAAGGATAAGGTGTGTTTTTCTTCGTAACACTTAAAATTCTCTAATTTGAAAATTTTAAAATTTATATTAAATGAGAGTGTTAGAGAATTTAAACAATTTATTAAATATAATTTTTATTATTATAATATTTCAAAAATTAAAAATACATTAATGACAAATATTATTTTATTATTTTAAATTATTTTTTTTTCAATTTTTTATTATAAATTTCTCTATATTTTTTTTTTGAAAGTAATCATTTTAAATCCCTCTTTCTAAGTTTACCATATCATTAAAAATTAAAAATGTCATCCTTAAAAATCATCTCAAATAATAACCAAACCCCTCCTAGACTGACATGAAGAAAAAGAAAGGACTATATAATCAATCCAACAACATATCCTATAGCATACAACCATTCTGCTATATAGATTTTACTGTAGTTTTTAATTGTTTTAAAATAAAAATATTGTATTTAATATTTAGACTTTCTGATTTTAATTCAAGTATCATAGATGACTCTAAGGCTTGAATGTGAAAATATGTAAATAAAAGAAAAGTCTTGTATTTATTTTTTGAATAAGCCTGTCAATACATGAATGTAAGTCAAAGTTATATTGTAGATAAGCAGTACATTTCTTACCCACTGGTACATTAGATCACCAACCACTTTTCCATGAAGACATGAATAAATAAATAAATAAATAAATAAATAAATAATTCACTCTATTCGTTTCTTTCAACTTCCCCCTTCTAAAAACATGTTTTATGCGATTAAAAAAAGTCTCATACTAATATAAAAAAATTAACATATCCTTGAAAAATTCATGAAACCACACAATTAACCCAATAATTTGCACATAATGATAGAAAAATAAACTCAAAAAGTTCATTCATTCATCCATTACAAGCATATATGAGAAGCTTTTCAAAATGTTAGGCCCCCAAAATGAGAACTCATTTCCTACTATATAACTTACATTACATATAGATCTCATTTTCACACATAAATAGCTAAATTGGTAACACTAATCTTCTAACTAATTTTCATTTTAACCTTAATCCTCCTTCCCCAAAAAAAAGTTGTGGACTTGGATAAATATGATTAATTAAAATTAATTAATCTTCAAAACCAACTCTCTTCCAAATTTCATTCCTAACACTACACAAATCCCTACCTTTGAGGGTCCTCCCAAACCCTTCATGCACCGACAAAGAAGCACCTCTAGTCCTAGCTAGATACTCATGAGGAGGTACCCTCTCATCATCACTTTCATCTTCATCATCATCATCATCATCACCATCACCATAACTCTCCCATTTTCTATTCTTCTTCTTCTTCTTCTTCTGTTTTTCCTCCAAGATCTTGGGCCAGTTAGGTATATTCACTGGCAATGAAGCCGGGCCTATTTTGCTTACTCTACCATCGATATTCTTCCTTGATGGTTTCTTCAAACCGGTAATGCTATTGCCACCGCCTTTCTTTGGAGGGGTGCAAGAGTCATATAACTCAGCTTCATCAAACTCAAACATACTCTCTTCTTCTGAGGATTTTTTGTTGATATTTGAAAAAATGTAACTTTGATTTGTGAGAAAACTCTTCTTTGACGCCATGGATAAAATGAAACGAAAACTTTCTCTCTCTCTCTCTCTCTCTTTCTTTCGATAGTTTTCAATGCCCAATAGTCTTTATTACAACATTTATTTATATTGCTTTCTTCGTACTTTATGGATAAAGCTAATCCATTGCTTTCTATTCAATACAACTTCAAATATAACACGTCATTCACTAAATTATACTATCCGTACAATAATTAATGACATTTGTTTTATTACACAAATTAAAAACTGTATAATAATAATAATAATAATAATAATAATAATAATAATAATAATAATAATAATAATAATAATAATAATAATAATAATAATAATAATAATAATAATAATAATAATAATATTATTATTATTATTATTATTATTATTATTATTATTATTATTATTATTATTGTGTAAATTCACCAGTATATATAAGTGTAAAGTAAGTAATATAAATAATATTAATTAGATGATATCATAAAAAAGTAATTGAAAAAAATAATTCAATTTAAAATAATTACTAACATATAAATTAATCGTTATAAAATAAATATATAATGATGTACTATTAACAACATCGTTAATATTATTAAAGTTATTAATAATTGTTTTATTTTTTTATTTTATCGGTTGATCAGAATTTGTAAGGTGGTTGGATAATAAATTTTGATCGGACAATGATGTCGAGGAGGAAAAAAAGGGTTGTATCTACAAGACACTCCAACGATCAAGTAACAGTGAGAACAAGGACATACAAGCAAAGTGTTAAGGTATTGGTGGTGAATAGTGAATATTCGATACTTGGTCCTCACAAGTGTGAGGGTTTATATAATGCCTCTGGTATATGGTCATTGGTTCCTGATTTTACGCTGGATATGTGAGTCCGTAAAATCAGGTAACTGCCAAGATTTGGTCAAACCGGGCAGATGTGCCCGTAACTAGCCGTTGGTTCCAAGGAGGAGGCAAGTTACAAGCATCTCTCTGGTTGGTTCCTGGTGACCTGCACGACTTTGAAGTCGGGCAGGCTGAGAGATGCTCGTCGATCATCCTAGGCCAATGCCGATTTGAGAGGACAAAGGGTCGATATTGCCCGACGAAGAGCGGGCGGTTCGGGTCATGGACGTGCGGACCATACCGAAAGAAATGTTTAGACTAGGCCCATTCTAGTTGTCGGGCCAGTCCAAAACAGTATCCCCCAAGTCGTTGCTTCTGGATATATGAGTGATGACTTTAACACCTTCTCGTGGAATGGGGCGTGTCTTACGGGGGAAATGAGTGTTTCCTATTGCGCCTTTCTCGCGGGGGAATGAGGAGTTGGTCGTTAGGAGCCTTGAATTTGAAGAGGTAACGTATTTCGGGTAGCGTGCTGGCGAAGCGGCGCAATGATGGCCTAGGGGCTAGGGTGTAATGATGAAGGTCCTAGAATTTCCCAGGCGCGTGTCTCGCACGCACCGATGGCCTCAGCTATAAATACGAGAGGAGCAGGGAGTTTAGTGTTTTTCGTTTTCTCTCTCAACTACTCGTAATAGCTCGACCGTCGACCACTGTCGTTTCATAGGATTTGTTGCTCGCTGTTGCTACTTCCAGCCTTCCTTCTTCTATTAACTGCTAAGTTTTCAATTTTCCACCGTTGTTAGCTTTCAGTAGTTCATATTTTCTTCATTCTCTTTCTAGAGATGCATGCCACTAGGGTTTAGCGTTTCGTCTGTTGGAACGTCGTTGGGAAGTGTTGGTGGTAGGCGGCGTTTCTGTAGTTTAGAATCGCCGGAGCCGCCGTGGAATCTCTCGTGGCACTTCGTGATGTGTTGTAGATGGTCCTTTAGGGCCTAGGGCTTTTTATGTAACTTATGCCCGTTTATGCGCCTTAGTGAGGGTTCTGGTCGAGGACACGATCCTCGTTTCCCAGCGCCCTTTCGCTTGATTAGCGATGGAAGGGTGGTTCTGGCATTGATGTCGAACTCATCTTTATCCTCTGCTTTTCAGTTACTATAGCCGATAATTCCCGGGTTAATCTCTCGAGCGATTCTTCACAATCTTCAAGAAGTTCTTCAGACGAGGCGATTAACTCGTCGAGCATTATAAAGATTTCAGGGGAAGCGCAGAATCAGCTGGAGCAGCAAGCGGGGGGAAGCAATGTGGAGATGACCTCCGCCGATCAAGGTTGCTTGCTTCCCCCCGGGGACGAGGAGGGTCCATGGGCTTGGGTCGCGAATGATCCCTAGGAATGGCCCTCGTATTTCTTTGAGCATTGGATGATGTTTTTACAGAGATGTATGCTCACGAGAAGGGGAACCGGGGAGAGTGGTCGTTATAAATCCCCGAGAAAGAGAGTAGAATCTGCTCGAAATATGATAGGAGGCAAATTCCCATGTATGACATCATATTTCGGGATAAGGGTCTTCAGATCCCTTTCTCGAATTTTGAGGTGGCTGTATTCATGCACCTGCGCGTGGCTCCTTCCCAACTGCACCCGAACGACATCGCGTTCATGCGAGCGTTCGAGATAGTATGCGATTACTTGAAGATAGGGGCTACCATTCCCTTGTTCTTCTACTACTTCCACCTCTAGAGGAGCAAGGTCGACGGTGAATAGGGATGGGTTTTCCTAAAGCAAGGCAACGGGAATCTGTTTAAAGCTTATTTGGAGTTTGTTTGTCACTTCAAAGACAAATACATATTAGTGCATCCTTCTTCGAGCAAGGCGATGTTGGACGTCTTTAGGACCATACCGGCGAATAACGAGGATGATACTCCCCGTCTGAACGAGCTAGGAGACCCCGTTGTAAAACTGGTTTACAAGTTCCTGTTCTAGTGGACGAGGAAGCATTTTGATAGTGAATTGGGCTCCTATGTATGGAGGGAGGGGGAGCTCGGAGTTGAGGACTTGGAGAGCTTCTCTGTCTTAACTGCGTTCGTGGCTCGGATCCCTCACATTCAGCGAGTCAGCAGGGGAGGCAGGCCGGTGATTGATAAGAACGGGGAGTCTGTATACGATTCGGGCCTCATAGTCGTCAAAGAGCTCCTTGGGAGCGAGGACCCCGTTAAATACTTGGGTATTTATGTTTTAAACAGTAGTATGTGGTCTTCGTTTATTTGACTACTCATGTACTAACTACGTTTTTTTTTTGCAGATAACATGAAACCCGCTCAGGAGCACATAACTAAGACTCTTGCTGCTAGAGCAAGGAAGGCTCAAAAGGATGCACAGACTGGCTTGGGAGTCGCTCCTACCTCGGGGTCGGGTGACTCATCTTTGGCCCAAGCTATGGTCTCTCTTTCTCCTGTCGTCGTTTCCTCGAAAGTGAAGAGGTCGCGTCCCGAGGGAAGTGTCGACCTGACTGGGGAAAAGGGGAAGGGGACGTACGACCTGCCCCCTTGCTGGCTGGAGAAGGCTTCTTCGAGGGTGCAACTCTTCGTCTTCCCCGGGCCGAATCCCTTCATCTCAAGGGATTGGGTTGCCTAGAGAAGAGGGTGATGCTAGCGCAAGATGCCGGTGGTTTGATGCGGATCCTGGAGATGGTCGTCGCCTATATCGGGGGAAGTTCCTTCCAAGAGGCCGAGCTGAAGAATCTTCGGGCCAAGCTGGCTGCGAGCGAGAAGGCCCGAATCGAGGAAGAAAAGGCTCGGAAGTTGTCTGACGAATAATCAGGGAGGCTCTCCAAGGAACGCAGGGTCCTCTTGCTCGAGAAGAAAGACCTTGAGGAAAAGGTGGTGGCCCTGACTGCTGAGGTTACGCCCACTGAAGACGAGCTAGAGGACACCAAAGATTTGAAGACTCGGGTTGAGCTTGTTGCTCGTTTTCAACTGGCGGTGGACGACGCCCAAGCTGCTTCCGAGGGGAGCTTTGAAAACACTGTAAAGCAGATGCACATGTTGAACCCCAGTGTCGAACTCAACACTTCAGGAATGGGGTCAACTATTATGTGGTTGTCGGTAAGATTTGGGTCCCTGACTATCTCAAGGAGTTCGTCACTTAGCCTGCCGGGGGTCCTGCCCAATTGTCGTCTGTTGCTGAAGAGGAAGCTGTAGGATGATTGTTCTATTTATTCTGGCATGTGCGCCGTATTGTTGTATTTTTTCTTCGGGATTTTGCCTGTTTATGTAATTTTCGAACAAGTGTGGCCTCTGGCCACAAATTTATTCTTTTTTATGGGGCGTTAAAAGCCTCTTTATTGTAATATTCACACACTAGCGGCCCAAGTGGTTGCTTCGTTTAGTTTTCCGACCATGATGGTCGTTTGATTCGAATATTTAACTTGTGTTTTTTGCATGTTTGTTGATAAACTCGGCCGTTTGAGACGTTTTTTATTTTGCAAAGAGTTTGTAGTGGGGATTTGCTCGTTTAGTTCGTATGTTTGTCAGTGTGGGGAAACTGATCAAACAGCCAGGGGTATATCGGGCATGGGCCAGAACTCAGGTCTCATTTCGAGGGACTTGGGTTCGGCGGTGTGAACTTCCCGTTGCGAGCCGGACATTCTACCATCTTGGCACGAGGACTATGGAGCTCGATCGAGTTATCCACGTTGGGCTGAAGGTGCGCTCGTTATATGAGTGAAGCTTTGCCCCTTCTGAACATTTTGGATGCTATGTTTGTCCCTAGGCATGCATGCATGGTCAGGCCTGAGTGAGTTTGTCTTGTCGACCAAACACGTCGACTGCTCAGTGTTTTTAACTACAATATTGTTTTAGCTTTTCAGCATTTCATGATTGAATGAGTTGTTCCCCTTGTAGGTTTTCCAAGTAGTACGCTCCAATCCCCGTTTTCGCATAGACGCGGTAAGGACCTTCCCAGTTTGCTTCGAGCTTGCCCTCGCGAGATTCTTTATGATTTCTCTTCAAGACAGGGCTTCCGACCTAGAACTCTCGTCGTATGACTTTGGCGTCGCAGCGCATGGCTATTTTTTGTTTGAGCGAGGCCTCTCTCGGGGCCGCTCATGTTCTGATTTCTTCTACTAGATCTAGTTCCTCCCGAAGGGAGACGTCATTCATCTCCTCGTCTGGAGGAGCCTCAGTTT